GGTCAGGAGAGGTCTGCTGCGCCATGTGGTAACCTCCGGGGCAGGCGGGAATCGAACTCTTGCAGAAGTGGCTTTAGTTTCTTAGTGCTGTGCTTTAACCTGCTGCGCCACCAGGGAGGGCCCTTACTACTAGTTTTTAAACTTAAATTTGGGGTCACATTTTGGCTCTTCATATGTGCATATTCTCCATTATCCTCCACCAAACTACCCAGCCCCCCTTCTGCCTCCCTCCTGCCACATCATCTCCCGCCTCCATTCCCTCTGTTACACATTTAAGTTCTTCAACTGGGTTCAAGATTTATTCCTACTGTATTTTACCCTGCATGTTTTTTGATTGTTTACCTTCCACAGATTAGCAAAACCATCTGATATCTACCTTCCACTTTCAGACTTGTTTCACTTAATATAATCACCTCAAGGTCTATCCATTTTGTCCCAAAAGCCATTGTTTCATCTTTCTTCACAGCTGTGTAGTATTCCAATATAAAGGAAATGCTTTGGTGACATTACAGATTCACAGTGATGAGCAGCCAACATTTCTGCATATCACCCCCAAAGGAGACCCATAGTACTTCCAAAGGAATCACACTCAACCGCAAAGGAGACACATTGTACCTCTAAAGGAGGTCAAAGGTACCCTCAAAGGTACCCCCCGAAGCCATCTACATGGTTCTTTCCCTCCCCACAGAGTGGCTCTCCTGGACCACGAGCTGAACACAGTTCCCACCCTCTAGTGCACTGATCTCAACTTGTCATAACCTTTATCTACCCATATCTGCTGCTTCTCTATTGTGTGGTTCTCTACTGGCTTACAAGCACCACAGCAGCAAGGCCTGGTCTGTCTGGCCTCTGCAGCTTTAGTGACTGCAGGCCTGGCCCACACTCATGCTCACAGGTATGCTGATGGGCCGAGGGAGCGAGCAGGCAGGTGCTCTGTGGGCTGGCCCAGGGGGCAGAGTCTTCTCCTGGGGTGCTGCTTCCATGACAGGATGACCTGCTCCTTCTCGCAGAGAGCAGGAAGAAGAGCCGCAATGCAAGGGTGGTCCTATGGGTGCCTCTGTGGAGCGGGCCTCAAGCTCATCCGGGCCCCAGGGGCTGGTGAGGACGCAGCCACAGGCCACCGGCTTTATGAGACCATCTGGTCAAATGCTCTCTGTGCAGCGATGAGGACTTCTGAGATTCAGCCATTAAACGGGAGCTCCCATGCCAGATGGTGGTGGAGGCAGAGACGGCGGTAGGCTGAGCCTCGACCCGGTATGAGCCTCTCTTCTGCCTTAATGCACTCAGTTCACAGAGGGCGAACGAGATCCCAGGCCCGGCCATGGGAGCACTCTCCTTACTCTAAGCCGGCCCCCAAAGTGGCTCTACTTTTGCCTCTGGAAATCCCCCTGTTCTGCTGCAGCTTCCAGTGAGTTTCCGCGGGAGGCCCTCTCCCCAGGCACCCCCACCTCTGCTGTGGGGTCCCGGAAGGCAAGTGAAGGTGGGTGGCCACTCACACTCCAGGGCTGGGTCCTGCCCGGTCAGGAAGCGGACTACGGCCTCCAGCTGGCTGAGCTTCCGGTGGTCTGGGTCTATATCCGTGACGCAGTAGATCCTGGAAGCCGGGAGAGTCCGTTCGCCCCAAAAGCGCCACCTCTCACTCCCAGCCCGGCTCTTTCTGTGCATGACTTTCCTGCTTACCAGTCGCTGGCCAGGGTCAGGTCCGGGTGCAGCAAGTCGTGCAGACCTGAGAGCAGAGTGCGTGCTCAGAGCGGCCCACGTGGGTGCATGCACACTCCAGCTTTGGGAATCCCTGCAGTTCCACCCCCCCACCCCAAACCTCCAGGAGTCCTCTTCCTCCAGGCCAGGCTGGGCTTATTCTTTGTTCTCTTTTGAGTAGGGACTCGGTCAGTATCAGTAGCATGCCTGCTTCTGAGCTGGCTTTCCTCCCATTGCCTGCTGTCGGAATTCCACCAGCCAGGGTCACCCTCAAAGGAGCAAACACTGAGACCAGTGGTTTTTACTTCATTTTCCCAACTGCGCTCAAGGGAGAGTCAGAGATGCCCCAGAGACGGGCATGCAGTCAGGAGAATCCCTGTGGTCTCACACCCAGCACAGCGTGTGGAGACCCTGTGCCCCCAGAGTGGTGCCGAAGGCACAGCGCACGGCTTCACTCATCCCTCTACCCGGCCTCCTCCCTTGCGGTCTCGTGGTCATTTCACAGCAGCATCAGCTTTGCTCAAAGATGCACATCCCTGGAGGACCCCTCTGCCCGCCCAGGATAGCCCCCCGGGAATGCACACTTGCCACGTGCCAGACCAGAGGACACGGAACACAAGATTCTCTCCAGGGCGCCTGTCTGAGCCTCAGCTGGCCACCTGGGACTTGGGGGGGGGCAGCCAGCCTCCCAAGGGAACTCCTTTTCTCTCGAAACTGCCCACCAGTACCTGACTCGGACCTACCTTCTTCCACAGACGTGTTCCCTAGGAGGATGTACTCTCCGTGGCCGCGGGACAGCACCACCCCCAAACTGTGGAGAGCGGAGAACTCACACAGCGAGTGGCCACCACCCAGCCGCCAGCTCCTGGGGACCTCCATTCCAGGCTGGAGCGTTCCACACCCATGTGTTCACATGCACAACACACCGTTTGCCCCAAGCTCACCAGCTGCAGGGCACCTAAGAGAACTTCAACTTCAATTCTTTCATCTTACAAATGGGGCATTACTTTACGATCTTTCCGTAGATTGTCATTTAATCTATAATACCACGGAGAAGTAGCTACTATTGTATTATACAAATGAGGAATCGAAGGCCCAGAGTGGTTAAGGAGTTTGATTAAGGTCACACAGCCTGTCAGTGGTAGAGTGGGGGGTTCAAACCAAGCAATTTGGCCCCAGAACCTGCCCAGGAGGCCTCACTGGCAAAGCAGGTCTCGATACTGTTTCCTGAATGGAGACCGAGGCCTTGTTCTGTTACCGCAGTTAGCCAAGTAAGTAAATCCATACCCCAAACTTGGAAGCCTACTCTGAGCCGTTGGTATTCATGAGCCACTCACCTCCCTCCCTGCAAATAAAACATGGGTCCCTTACCTGAAAGGGGTGTCACTGATGTCTGTGAAGAAGTAATCATTGGTCAGGAACAGGACTCTTTTCTGAAAGAGCAAAGGAGAAACAAGTGTTAGGTGGAGAGAGGCGCCCTGACCGTGCCCCGACAGCCTCCCTAGAAGCCCTTGGGGTTCCATCACTTTGTCCCACCTCCCTCACTTCTCGGTCCCTTTCCTCCCTGCCCTACAGTTCCTCATCTTGCTGACACCCTTGGCGGAGCCAGCAGCTGGCCCAGAAAACCCCGCCCGTGGGCGCTGAGGGGCAGCAGGAGCAGGGCTAGACCTGTGGAGTCAGAGGGGCGGCCGGCCGGCGTGACTACTGGACACTCACATGTGGGACTGAGGTAGGGGTGTTCAGATCCTAGTTCACTTTAGTGACCATCAGGTTAAGTTGCACAGGCGCCACCCCCAAGCTCCCTGTCTCTGAAGATAGTTGAGGGGCACAGTTCCTCCACCACCTTCTCCCGAGGCCACCGCTTGCTTTGCAGCTTTCCCTTTCAAAGCTGTTGCTGTTTTGCTTTCAGTTAACACGGGAGACTGAGGCCGGCAGGCGGTGCACACAGCGGTGAAGGCTCTTGGCCTTCGCTGGGCACACACAGGCGAGGCTAAGCCCCTCCCAGCCACTGACAAGCTCGGGAAGATCTAGGCCTCCCTGTTCTCCAGGATTCACCACAGCTGCTCTTGCCTCAGGCTGCTGTGAGGTTGAGGGTGATAGGGCGGGTACAGGGAAGCAGGGTTTGCTCCGGGCTCTGAAGTTCTGTGGCTTGTCCATGTAGGCACAAATTTGCATCACTGAGAAAGCTACAAGAAGTGTTTGGCTCAGAAGCTGTTCATATTTCATTCATCTCCTTGTGTAACTGGGTGGTCCCTAGGAGAAGGGAAGTTCCAGGTTCCCTGCCCCACCCAGAAGGAGGGTGGAACTGAGCAGAGAAAAAGGAGAGAGAAGAAGAGAGAAGGAAGGCAGACGGAAGGCAGATGGAGAAGGAGACCTGAGGAAGCCACATGGAGCAGCAAGCATGTGATGAAGAAACCGGCCTTGTTTCCTGACCCTGGACTGGTTAAGGCAGATGTGGGTGAGATACCTGTAGGGAGGTGACTATGGCAGTGTTTATATTGATTTTGATTTTGCTCTTTTCCTCCCAGATTTGTCTGGCCATTTCTGACCCTTTTCCATGGGTCCCGGCCAGAAGGTGCTTTAGTCTTGTGGCAGCTTTCAGGCCTTGCTTTGGGCCAATCCCTTTTGGGTTGACTTTTGCCCACGAGGGGATGGGTAACTTCAGGTGTTTGATTTAGAAGTTATATTCTTTGTGTTTCATATTGTATATTCACTGTATTAAAGTCACTTTTCATTAAAGCTTTATATGTTTTGTCTTGTTGCGGCGGATGGCAGAACCCACTTAGAGCAGGCAGGTTTTGGGGCTTCAGGGGTGCCTCTCTCTGAATTGAGGTGCCCTATAACACTTGCATTTTGGAAACTGGAGTAAAATGATGGAAGAGATGCCCCGGGAAAGGGGTGGCAGGCAGAGGTTTGACTTTCAATCACACAGGAGAGAACCACCCTCTTCTACCTGTCTCATCCCAGGGATGCCTCCAGGGGAGGAACTGTCACCTCCTGGCTCCAGTTTTCTCCAGTTTCCCTCCCCTGCCTATAAAGACTGGTGTGCAGGCCAGAGCTGCAGGGTGGGTGGAGGATTCACCAGAGACAGAGTGGGGAGAAGAACAGGCAGATTGACTGAAACACACTGCTGAGGGGAGTGGCGGGTGAGACAGGAGAGGTCTGCCGCGCCGTGTGGGTCACTCCCTGGCCGGGGGATCGAACTCATGCTGCAATGGCTGTGGACAGCTTCACAGTGCTGCTCTTAAACCCCTTGTGATACCAGGGAGGGCCCATCATGATTACTCTGGCTTTTTCTTATTGTATGTACTTTTTCGTGCCTAGATTCTTGTGCTTCAGCACAGTGTTTTAAGGTCCATCTATACCGGTGAGTCGGCGTTCCTTCCCCTGGCTCAGCAGCGCAACAACCTGGGGTCCTGCCAGTTTGTGTCAACATTCACCTAGCAAAGGACATCTTGGGTGTTTCCAGTTTGCAGTGATAATAGCTAAAGCTGTGTTAAACACTTTTCAACAACTCTTCTTGTGGATATATGTTTTTATCCCTTTTGGTAAATACCTAGCAATGGAATTGTTGAGCCATATGCTAAACATATGTGTATAAAAACCCGACAAACAATTTTCTAACATTTTCCACTACACTAGCCAAGCAGAGAGTTCCAATTGCTCCACATCTTTGCCAGAATCTGGTGTTTTGGCTCTTTTGCATCTTAGCCATTGTAGAGGGTGTGAAATGGAATCTCAAGGTGATTTTAACTTGCATTTCCCTGATGACTGAAGGAGCTGAGTGTCTTCTCATGGGCTTTATTCAAGTCTTTTGTCCATTTTCCATTGAGTGCTTAGTCTTTTTGTGGATATTTTATCTGCACTTTTAATGTCTTCTGGATACAGACCAGAATCAGTGATAAATTGTCTCTTTTCATTTTCTTAATGATGTCTTTGAACTTTTTACTTTGATGAAATCCAACTTGCCAAATTTTATTTTGTGTGTTGTGCTGTTGGTGTTTGGCTTAAGGAATCTTTGCACTAAGGAAGTGGCAGTGAGACTGTCTCGTAGAGATTTACCTGTCAGCCTTTGAGTTGTGGCTTTTACACTGAAGGTCATGCTCCAGCTCCAATCACTTTTTGTGTACAGTGTCACATTCATTGTGTTTCTTTTTTTCATACATTTACTTGGTTGTTTCAGCACTATTTATTGAAAGATTTCCTTTCTCCATTGATTTACCAAGGTATCCTGATTGGATGATGAAATTGATGATATGTAAGTTATTTCAGGGTTCTCTGTTCCATTCCATTGATCCTCATTCTGTTCTTATCTCAATGCCATGCTGTTTGGTTCATGTAGTTTGGTTACTACCTTTTTAGTAAAGTTTCAGGTCAGGGAGGATGAGTCATCCAAATTTGTATTTTTCCTTTTCAAGATAATTTTGTCTATGTTACAACCTGTACATTTTCATGAAAATATTTGAATCACCTTTTTTTACTATCCTCCTTTATATCTAAAAGACTGCTTAAATTTTAATTGAGATTGAATAGATCAATTCTCAGAGCATGGGTATCTTCACAACATCATTTTTACAACTCACAAAGAGTGCTATTTTACTTAATTTTTCTATCTAATATTTGTATTAATTATTCTTTGATATATTTTCTAATGTTATGTAGTTTTTAGTACAAAGGTTATAAATGTTTTTGTTAAATTCATACCTCAGTATTATATATTGCTTGATGCTTGGAACTTAAAAAATAATTTTACTTTCCTCTTATAGCTGCTATATATCAAAATGCAATTGATTTTATGTAATAGTAACCTTGTATTCTATGCATTTGCTAAATTTACAGACCAGCTATTTTGGAATTTTTCTATGAAACAATCATACGTGAATGTTAACTGATTGCTTCTTCCTTTCTTATGTCTGTGCCTTTGTTTTGTTTTCTTGCCTTATTGCAAGGATAGATACTTTTAAACTCCAGGTCAATGTTAACTAGAGGGTAAACAGAAGTGGTGAAAGTAGATGGCCTTATTTTATTCATGTTGGAGAGGAAAAGTTCATTATTGCATGATCAAAAGTTAATTTTTTCATAGATGCTGTTTTTGATCATAGTTTTTTTTTTAACAGATTAAGGAAGTTTCCTTCTGTTCCTAGTTAAATTTTGTCAAATGTTCTTTCAGTGTCTATTGAGATAACCAATAAAGTGTTTCTTCTCCTGTAGTCTGTTAATGCAGTCAATTACATTGGTTGATTTTTTTTTTTTTTGAATGTCAAATTAGCTTTACCTTCTTGGGCTAACTTTGCTCTGTGCTATTGTTGCCATAGATCTTACATTGCATACATTACAAAGCCCACATACAATGTCAACATTTTGCTTAAGTAGCCAGTTGTCCTTTGGAGGAGTCAGAAGAATAAACAAAACCCTCTGTTAACCCACATATTTACTATTCTCAGTGAGGTTCATTTCCTCATGTAGATCTGAGTTTCCATCTGTGTCATTTTTCTTCATCCTGAAGAAATTCCTTAAGCATTTCTTATAGTGCAGATTTGATGTGATGGGTTCTAATTTATCTGAAAATGTATTTTTTTTCATTTTTTTCTGGCTTGATCAGGTCATTTCACATGACCCCACAGGTAACACAAGAGAACTTTCCCCCAACATTTTCTTTCTGTATTCACATTGGATCATTACTATTTGTCTTCAAGCCACTGTCCTTATCCCCTACATCTGTTTTTAAGCTGATGCAGTAAAAAATTCATTTCAGATATTATTCTCTTCAGTTTTAGGATTTCCACTGGATTCCTGTGGTGGTTTTAGGCTGTGTCAAATGCACTAACCTGTGTCCACATTTCCCAGACTTACTTCCCTGACCAGTTCCAAGTTAGAGTGGTCCAAGGAGGAGCTTGCAGGACATGTGCGAGGCAGAGGGGAAGCAGCAGTCATGTCCCACTCAGAAGCGAGTCCAGGGTGCCGACCACTGCTGTGCTCTGGATGGTGGCCTCCCCTTCCTGGCATGGAGAAGCAGCCAGCTTCAAAACTTCCCAGCTGCGTGGGGTCTTGTCCTTCAGTCTCTGAAGAGAAGTGGCTGTGAAAGTCGGTGTCTCTGCACCACAGTCATCGCATGCCGGCTGGGCCATCAGTGGAAAGGTGAGTGGGGTCAAGTGCAGGGAAGAGTCAGAACAAACAGGAGCCCGTGCACACTGACCAAAACCCACATCTGCCTCACCGGCTCTTCCCACAATGCCGCAGGTCCGCTGTGAGGGCTGAGCCTGTGCCCGGAGCTGTGGGCTGGCGCTGAAGCCTGCTGCTTCTCCCGCTCGCCTCTCTGAAAGTGACCTGCCTGGTCTCAGGGACTGTGAGTTTGTGAGTCCAGCTGGGGCTGCTGCTGTCCTTGGTGATGGCCCCACAGCTGCCCCGGGGCCCAAAGGGGCGGGGGAGTAGGATTCAAGTCAAATGCCCTGCAGGTAACGACGAAGCCTGCAGGGTGACTTGAAGGTTACCAGACATCCCCCAATACTTTGAGAGAGCTTCCTTTGGCCTAGGCCTGAAGGCTGTTTTTGCTCAAGGGCAAGCTTCTCAGGTGAGACCACCACCACCACCATGGGGTGGACAGGCAGGCCTGTGAGGGATGGACTGGCAGGCTGGCAGACCACAGGGCTGTTGGCAAGTCTCTAACAGGGAAACAGGCTGGGGAGATGGTTGGTGAGAAACAGAATGTACCATCAGTTACAAGAGTGGCTGTCGTGATGGGTCAGGGCAGCGAGGGCTGGACGCTGCTGTGGGTCCCCCTCACCCACGCTCCTGGGTGTGGCAGCTAAAAATGGAGGGAGGGAAATGGAGGGAGGGGCCCTCCCTGGTGGCGCAGTGGGTTAAAGCACAGCACTGAGAATCTAAAGCCTCTTCCACATGAGTTCAATTCCCGCCTGCCCCGGAGGTGACCACATGGCGTGGCAGACCTCTCCTGACCCGCCCGCTGCTCCCCTCAGCAGTGTACTTCATGGATCTGCCTGTTCTGTTTCCCGCTCTGTCTCTGGTGAATCCTCTCGCCACCCCTGAGCCTCTGGCCTGTACCCCAGTTCTGTATGCACAAATAAATAAATCTTAAAAAAAAAAAAATGAGGGAGGACATGGTTGAGCTATGATTCTGTGGGGGCGGGGAAGAGGAGAAAACAATGAAATTTTACGATGGGCTATAAGTCTTATTCTACAGACTCTTGGGATTTTTTTTTTAATATTATAATATTTATTTTTATATCATTTTGTGCCTTTTTCCAGCTCAACTGCAATCCCATGGACTTCCCATCACCCATTCACCCATGAGCCATCACCACAGTCCTGTGCATTTCCCCCCTCTTGGGAGGACCCTTATGGCGGCTGCAGACTGAGGTGAGAACTCAGGGCCAGGCCTGGAGAAAGACCTTCCTCAAAGTGGTTAAGAGGGTGCTGCCTACCCCCAGACACACGGGGCCTCAGCCTGACCATCTAGGTGACTTCCGGCGAGCCCTGGACTCTCCGGATTTCCTCATCTGTGAACTGCAAAGCCCATCACGGGCTGAGTGTTAAACGCGCGATCAAGTGCTTAACCCGATGTCTAACTAGTGCCAGCTGCCAGTCATGTAGTCATGGTGGTAATGAGGGAGCAGAGAACTAGCTGGCTGCAGGAGCTGGCTGGTGAAGGCTGGTTGGAAAGTAGCAGACCGAGGCTGGGCACCGACGGAACAGAAGGCGGCCGGCCGCTGAGCCAGCAGGCAGAGGCTGGTAACCACAAGAGGCGCAGAGAGGTACACAGTAGCCTGGGGTGTCTTCAGCAAAGGGAGATAGTGGGAAGCACCAGGACAGGGAAAGTCCCCGTGAGAGATTACAAAAGGAAAGCTACCCGTGCGCCTCCCCAGAGCCCTCCTGGCAGGAGTCTCTCTTGCAATAAACCCGAGCTTGCTAATCTTTAGTTTAGTGTGTCAGTGATTGTTCCTCAACAGCTTCCTGGACATAAGAACCCACCCGATCGGCCACAGTAAGGTCGGTGTGCCGGAACACGTCCATTCTGGTCACGGTCATCACGGCCCCGCCTCTTTATGGGAAAGCACCACCCTCCAGGATGTCTTTGCTAAACTGCAGCTTTAACCTGGTTTGTAGCAGCAATGGGCAAATTTCACAGGAATGGGCAGAGACGTCAGGACATGTTCGGATGGCCTGCTTCTGGCAGGCCTCTGGCTTGGTGGCTTGAGAATTGTGAGGACGGCCTGAGAAACCCCGGTCACCGGAAGCAATGGACGAAAGGCCAGTGACGCCCACATCCTTAGTGGGTCTGGATCTGATAGCGGATATCAGATCTATCCTTACTGGCCATGGGCCTCAAGCACGTTACGGTTTTCATGATAGCCTCAACGCTAGTCTGAACTTCCGTGCTGTGGCAGGTTGGATCACCACAGCTCCCTCAAGTATGTGTGTGTGGGCCGGGGGGGAGGGGGGGCTTGCAGGATGAGTGGGAAAACGCGTGGGGAAAACCTCGACTTCTTTGGATGAGGAGTTTCTGTCTGACAGCAGTGATACCGCTCAGTCTGCCTCAAGGAGTCTCTGCTTGGTCCAGAGCTTTAGAAAGCAAGAAGATGTCACAGAATTCAGAAACTGGTTCCCGTGAATATCAGCCCAAGCCCAAAAGAAAGGCAACGAGCTGCTTTTGTGTCTCAATGCTTTCTTGTTTGGCTTCCATGGGGGTCTGTGTTTGTGGAAGAACTTGGGTCTAATTGTTGCAGACAGATGCCTGTGTTCTCTTAGCTGAGGCAGATGGGCAACGGGAGGAGGGGGTGGGGATGGCTCCGAGGGAGGAGGTGACATTTGTAAATATGTCAAGGGACAATGCAATTCAGCTCCAGTGCACTGGAATCTTCTACATGAGGATATGTACTGATCTCGTGTCCCTGACGTGCAGCCTGTGAGGACAGAAATGGCCCCAGCGAGGGTCTCCACCCCTGAGGGTGTGAATGAAATTCAGCTACAGGGAGTAGCAGTGACTTCCACCCTCTTCCATGGAACATGTTTTGCAAGAGCTGCTAACAATTTGCAAAATTAACCGTCACTTTTCTCCCTTCCATCATAAACAATGAAAGGGCCAGATAGCAGGCAGCATAAGGAAGACAGAGGAGTGGTAAATGGCTTGGCTAACCTACGGCCTTGCTCAGCGGTCTCCCTGACCCAGGCAGCGAGAGGAGTAAGGCCTCCTGGACCGGGACGCGGCGGACACCACGGGGATAGGCTTGCGGAACCAGCTCTCTGGGCCACAGCGAGCATTTGGGCTTAGTGCTGACTCAGTTATGCCCCTTGCCACTACCCCAAACCCCAACAGCTGCTACGGCCCTGGGACCAGACCCCAGCCTCCTCCTGTGAAGCGCCTTACCCCTCTGTCCAGCGGAACCTTCACGTCCAGAGTGAGAGACCCTGTCTCCCTGTTGATCATGGCTGTTCTCAGCTTCAAGAGGAAAGAAATGGTGTCAGCCCCTTGGCCCACACTGGATGGCAGAAGGTTCTGAGCTTTACTGTCCAGATTGGAGAGATGCCTAGGAACACTGTGGGCCCTTCCCTTTTTCCTGAACAGAAAACCAGGAGGGAAGATAGACCTGATTCTAAGATCCCTGTAGCTTGTAATTCTGCATACTCACCAAGCTCATGTGTGGGGGCCCAGTCAAGCTTCACACAGGGTGTGAGCAGTGGGGTGTGGGGTTCCACCTGAGTGGCCCAGGATGTCACTGAGACATACCTGCCCTAGGACTGAAACCCTGTGGCCTGCAGCCACATGCTCATCCATGTCAGAAATTCTCGTGGTCCAGGAAGGTGTTGTATTTTTGTATCAATAAAAGAAATGAAAGAATTGCCCATTCTAGGCATTGCCACTGACTGGGGCTGGGAAAGTCTCTAGTGGGGGGTTGTGAGGTTGGTGGCATGGCCACAGCCCTCAGCTCCCCTGGGGCTTGGCTGTGGAGCAGAAGAAACCCCTCCTCCTGCTCCCCTCCCCCAACCCCCGACTCTCCACACTCACAATCTCAGCTCGGTCCTCCCACTCCACTTCGGAGAGATCCACGCTGTTGTAGTTGGGTTTGGGTCTCAGCTTCTTCCCATCTCTATACTGGAACAGGTAGATCAGGAAGAAAACGTGAAGTTAGCAGAAGGCCCTGCTCAAGCTGCGGCTCTTCTAGAAAGCCTTTGGTGTACGTTCATGAAATCAGAACCTCTCCGTGACTCCTCAAGGTCATCTGGGCCCAACTGCCACCCAAGCCTCTTGCCAATCTTTGCGACAGATGGTCCGTCGGCCTCTGAGAGGCTGTTTCCCTGTTTTGTGAGTCAGCTAGTCATGGTCTGGACAGCCCTAACTGTTAGAAACTTCTTTGTGCAGCGTTGAAATCTGTCTCCTTCTAACTTTGTACCGGTGGGTCTTCATTTTTTCCCGGAGCTGCACAGACATATTCCACCTGACAGCCCTTACATTTTTGAACATGTTTGTCTGCTGAAACTTCGCTTCTCCGGGTTTGCCTCCCCCGCATGGAGCCGTCTCACTCCCAGGACTATGTTTGACCTTATCAGCGTTACTGCCACAACCGAACCCCAGGACAGAGGTCAGCCTTTCAGATGGACCGGTGGGGTGTGGGGTGTAAACGGGGTGCCCAGAATAGTACATGGTGTTCACTGCTGCCCGGTTCTGCGGGTTCCCAGGTGCTCGCTGTCCCGACAGCTCAGTCCAGCTGTCACTTGTGCTCCCTTGGCTTCCACTTGTGGTGCAGTCAAACTACACCCCGCAGTTCTATGCTCGGGCTTTGACAATCTGGCAGAACTTTCCATGCAACTTAAATACATTTTGTCTTGTTCGTTTCAGCCTATTGTTTGATTTATATATTCGTTTGTAAGATGTATTTATTTATGCATACAGATCTGGGGTACAGACCAGAGGTGTCGGAGGTGAGAGGATTCACCAGAGACAAAGTGGGGAGCTGAACAGGCAGATGGATGAAGTACACTGCTGAGAGGAGTAACAGGTGAGACAGGAGAGGTCTGCTGTGGCATGTGGATCACCTCTGTGGCCGGGGATCGAACTGGCACTGAAGCGGCTGCAGCCACCTTCGCAGTGCTGCGTTTTAACCCCGCTGTGCCATCAGGGAGGGCCCAGTTTTTTTTTGAAGATCGATTTATGCTTGCAGAACAGGGGTACAAGCTAGAAGTGTGGGGGGTGAGAGGATTCACCAGAGACAGAGTGGGGAGCTGAACAGACAGATCAATGAAATACACTGCTGAGGGGAGCAGCGGGGAGACAGGAGAGGTCTGCCGTGCCCTGTGGGTCAGCTCCTGGGCTGGAGATGGAAGTTGCGCTGAAGCAGCTGCAGCTTTGCGGGGCTGTGCTTTAACCCGCGAAGTCACCACAGCCTATTGTTTTAGAAGACTATTTTCTGAGCACTAATTTTTTTCACTTAATGTATTCACCATACCTTCCAGACTTTGTGGCATCTGCCTTTTGGGTTTTCATCTTGTTAATAGAATATTTGATTGGGATAGAGCCAAGGACAGACAGATTCTGCAGTGCCTAATAAAGACCTCCCTCCAGCTTGACACAGAGCCGTTCATCAACACTCTTTGAATGTTATTATTTTCTGGCCCTGCTTTCTCTTTGTCTCATTCTTGGATGCCAAGACAGCTATCAAGAGTTATCAACTACTAGATGTCCCTAGGTTTAGTTTAGTAATCCTATCAAAAAAGGAAGGGGATAGTTTATTATCAGGCTCTGTTAAGAATTAATCCCAGCATGTCCTTTTAGCAGAAGGAGACCCCTGAAGATGCTTGAATGGTTAAAATCCTACCAGTGTGCCTCTTACATTTATTTTTTAAAAAAGATTTATTTATTTATGCATACAGAACTGGGGTACAGGCCAGAGGCTCAGGGGTGGTGAGAGGCTTCACCAGAGACAGAGTGGGGAGCAGAACAGGCAGAATGGCAAAGAACACTGCCGAGAGGAGCAGTGGGTGGGTCAGGAGAGGTCTGCCGTGCCGTGAGGGTCACCTCCGGGGCTGGGGATCGAACTTGCACCGAAGAGACTACAGCCAGCTTGCAGTACTGCGTCTTAACCTGTTGCACCCAGATTTCTTTTTAAGAAAGCTTTCTCATTTCTTGCCTGTCCAGGAGAGCTGTCATAAAACAGCCACAACAGAATAGGCTGACCTAAAACTCAGGGGGCCCTCAGCTCGGCTGCCCCTACTTCTCATGTGAGTTTTGCTTTGCACCCCTTGGGTGGGCGCCTGGAGTTCTGCTGGTGCCACAGACTCGACACCGGACAGTGGGATGACAGGCTGAGACACGCGTCAGCGCTGTGTCCCACGGGCAGCTGTCCACTCTGTCCCTTGCTCTCCCAGCTGTTCATCAGCCCACACGTGTTTGCCATATCGCTCTGGCTTGGTCATGTACAGTCTGAAAGCAGGAACCATGACTCACTCCCCCCACCCCATGTTGCCCATTGGATTCCTGAAGGGAACCGTTGTGTGTTAGGGTTTTAACTTCTTATGAACTATCCTCAGATCCCGTAGAAAGAAGCCAAGGTAAATCAAATCTGTACCTACCAGGGGTCGGAGGTCAGGATGTGCCAGGATGTAGCCATTGTTCGTGTTCAAAAAGGCGTATCCATGCACTCCGAGCTAGCAAAGACAGGTTGGGGAGCATGAAATCTGCTGAAATGGAGCGAGTGGGGCGTGGGGCTGTGGAGCGGGTAAAGATGGCAGCTCGCAGCTGCGCGTTTTCCAGAGGGCGTTGAACCAGGGCAGCGCCACGCCTCTAGCTACTTGGTTTAAATTCCTTTCCAAACTCTCGGCGGGTAGCTACACAATGCCCATCACCTGGCCTCTTTCTTAACACACATGTGAGGTGATTTAAGGATATAATCTCACTTGCTTCCAAAAGAGATTGAGAAACTGAGGTACCAGGAAGGGAAAGAACTTACTGAAGGCCACAGCAAAGGCTGGGCGGTGGTGGGAGGGTCCCAGGCTGCAAGTTCTGGGCTTGCACTGCCTGGGGCAGGAGGGAGCTGCCAGTCCCAGCTCTGAGTGAGGGTGGGGGTTGGGTGAGGGTGGGGGAGGGTGTGGCTGTGCTGCCTGCAGAGAGGCCCCTGAGCCCTGGGGCTGCTCTTAGGGAATTTGTGACCCCCCTTAGGGACCTGCCCTACAAGGCTCACCTTGTACCTGGGAGCCAGCTTCATGAGCTCCCTCAGCGTCACGTCAGAGCCCACCACGCCCAGGAGAATGCCGTGGGATCGCTGGAAGGAAATGCCAGGGTCAGAGGAGACCAAGCCGTGCTGGGGGGGGGGGGGCGGGTGGCACAGGGGCGGGGTGGGGGGCTGTGCTGGGCCCTCAGCTTTTCAGGGCTTAGAAAAGGAGGCCACTGGGGCTTTCACATACTCTGCATTTAGAGAGCACCGTGGAATAAAAATCCAGGGGAGGCCCTGGAATTATCTCGACTGCCAGGAAGACTAATGCCCAATGTTAATATTTAAGTTGAAATATTTAAATGAAATACAAAGTCGAATGAAATATTAACCTTTCTAGAGGAGACTCAAGAGTCGGGACCCAAGGGGCCCTGATCTGTGGATGCCACCAGACACACGGGGCCGCTGGCCGAGGGAGGACGGAGGTTCTCGAAAATCCCTCACAAATTTGGTCTGTCCTGGTGGGCTAAGTGCAGTTTTGCTAGAAGGCTGGCAGGGGCCTCTCTAGCACTGTATCCCCCAGGCAAAGCAGTGGGGTGACCCCAAGCTGAACCCCTCACCCAATCAAGAGATTCTGAAGCAGCCAGTTGGGCCCAGGGCCTGCACCCTGCATTTCAACCCCTCCCAGGGTGGCTCTAATGCCTGCTGACCTAAGGACGCCAGTGGTGCCCTGGTCCTAAGGAACAGCTACTCACCGTCTCGTTCTTTTTGCTGAACACAGGCATGGCCACCGTGGTGAGGAGCATCAGGCTCTGTGTCTGTGAGCTGAAGAGCTGCCAGGGAGCAGAGCAGAGCCCAGAGGACTGAGGGACCACAGGCGGGAACCCACGGCCACGTGAATGCTCAGTGTCACCCTCCCACAGCAGGAGAAACCCCTCAGGGAGTTGTCCTTCTCTACAGAAGGACATAAATGCTGTCCAGAAATGCTGGATGAGGGAGATGGGCTCAACGGGGCCCTGGCGGACTGCGCTAGACTAGGAGCTCCGCTCCCAGGCAGGCGCGCTAAGCTCTCTCACCCCAACCACGTAATGCCACGCGTGGCACCTTGCAGGCCATCTCCTGGGTGCCCAGAGCCACGTGTAGTCCCCACTGTGGACTTGAGTTTGGCGTAAACTACAGTGCATAGCCATCTGCAAACCCAGGTGCCCGCATGAGGGTGGCGGAGCAAGGGCAGGCTGTGGGTGGCCGTCGTCGGCCCTGCGTCACGCCTGGGACAGGCCCACACCTGTGTCTGCACACAGAACCCAGAGCCAGTGATGCCCGGGCTCGAGCCGGCCCGCCTCCCTGACCACTTATCCCGCTGTGCCCATTCCAGCCACTTCGGAAGGGGGCTCTGCACGGGCACCCTGCTTTGTCACAGAGATAGACCCCAGCCAGCAAGGGAGACAGCTACACTGATATCTGACCTTCACCAGGATAATGAAAGGGGTTGCTGAGCCATGGGCTGCTGCGTAGACGCTTCTTGGAGCAAGAAGCCTCTAGTCTCTTCCCCCTTCCTAATCTGATGGTTTAGAGTTTGGAAGTCAGGCTTTCTGGAAGTGAGGGGGTCTCAGTGCCTAGAGTTCCACTGTCCCACTTGGACAAAGAGGACACTTGGGGTGGCCAAGAGGACCACAGGGAGGGAGCCAGGTTCCCACTGACCAGGGAGTTCCCTGCCAGTCTGGACCTGCCAGCTCCAGACTTCTTTGACATAAGGAAATGCACTTGACTCACGGAAGCACAAGCTTCAGGTCTCTAAGTCCCAGACTAATATGTCATGACAGAAGCAAGTGGCCACATGTGATGTGATGTGAGAGGTGCCAGGAAGGCTTCTCTTCCCCCAAACATCCATCCCCCTGCCTCCTGGGTCTGCTCTGCTGTGTACATCGGTGCGGCCCACAGGCGGTCTCTAAATATGCAGAGGCTGAGGGGGGAGACCGGGGAAGCCCTGGTGTCTTCTTCCTGCAACTGGTGAGGTTATGGACCTTTCTTCCCATAACAGTAGGGAGAGAGAGATGAAGGAGATGAGACAACAGGAAGGAGGAGGCTGGGAGTGGAGCCGAGGAGCTCTGTCCTTGGGGGCAGCACAGGACCTGCCAGTCAGCCCAGAGCCTTCCCTTCCTTGCATTGTCTCCTGCAGTGTGGTGGTCTGCTCGCTCCCTCCTGACCCGGGAGCCGCCTCTCACCCCTGGGGTAGTGCCGGAGCAGGGATGGGCCCCACCTTGCTATCCATGTAGGCTTCGGTCCAGATGATGTCATGGTCATGGTTGATGACCATGGGGCGGCTGAGCACATGCAGGTACTCCATCACGTTCTCCTGGGTGTCTGCCAGCGTGGAGATCTGTGTGTAGTAGCCTGGGGAGAGGGGGGCCCAGCTCACCGCCGATGGCTCGTGGCTGGGGCCTTTGCTGGGAACTGCTCTGGGCTGGGGAACTGGCCCCCCAAGCTCATCCCTCCCAGTGCAATGGGGGAGGTGGGAGCTGGAAGCCAGTGGTGCTGTGGGGTACAAAGGCTGTTCCCCAACTTGGGCAAACTCAAAGGGCCTTCCCAATCCAGACCTGGCATGAGAATAGCTGAACCTCACCTGTGAGGGCCTTGAAGGTCAGCTTCTCCCACTCAAAACGCTATCCTGCTCACTTCCTTACCGGGGGACATTCCAGAGCACCCCCTCCTGCCTGCAACTCCAGCTCAGGGCGTGTTTGGGGGAGCTTGTTTTAAGTCAGCCACACACACTTCTACCCTCACCACCTCCTCCTTCCTGGGACACTGTCCTTCTCAGCTGGGGAGGGGTGCTGTGACCCCTGCTGTAGCCACAGTGATAGTTAACAGAGCAGATGCTTACAAGGCTGCGGATGACATAGCACCTGTATGTGCCTGCACTTCAGAGAGCGGAACAGCTTTCAATTCCCAGCCACCTCTGGCGTGGGTCCTTTGCACACGCTAGTCCCCTGTCAGGAGTACTCCTTCAGCTCTGTATGTCCAATGGGCCCCTATGAGTTCTTTATGTCTCAGTTTAAAGACCCCTTCCTCCGGAAAGGCCTCCCTGCAGCCCCCCACATGGCATCAGTGTCTCTCCCAGCTCTCCTCAGCTCCCTGCGTGGTCTGTGACCCTTTCCCTGATAGTGCATTTCAGGTTCTATTATCACTGGCGGATTACATGTTGATCTCTCCTGGTGGACAGTAGCAAATGTAAGATTAAGTTCATCCTGAAATCCAGTTGATTCTGGAAACTTTACGAGGCACATAGTAGATGTTTAATAAATTTTGGCGATTTAAGAAAACCCAACCTGGGGCCCTCTCTGGTGGTGCAATGGGTTAGAGCGCAGCCTATGAGACTATCTGCAGCCACTGCAGCACGAGTTTGATCCCCCGCCAGGGAGCTGACCCATGGTGCAGCAGACCTCTCCTGTCTTACCCACTGCTTCCCTCAGCATATTTCAGTCCATCTGCCTGTTCTGCTCCCCACTGTGTCTGGTGAATCACCCCACCCCCTGCACATCTGACCTGTACCCCAGACCCCAGTTCTTGTATGCATAAATAAGTAGATCTTAAAAAAAAAAGAAAGAAAAGAAAAGAAAACCCAACCTGGCATTACAAAGTCCAAGGTTTTGGTTCTGGCTGGAGACGGATAAGAACTGTTTGCACAGACAACAATGACTGTGTTTTGTCTGAGAGCAGAACCAGAATAAATAAATAGGCTTAGCCTCAAGGAAGAGGAATGGAGGCTGGACTCCCGGGAGCACTTATATTTAAATGTCAACCCAGCCGCTGACTCCTATTTCCGGTCCTGTGGTTTGTGTCAGACTTTTTCTGAAAAGCTAGCTCTCCTTTCTGCAGACAAAGATGGATGACGGCTAAGTTCCATTTCAGGTGACCCTAAGATTGATGTCCCTGCAGGAGTAACCAAGTATTTATGCATACTTTTACATGGAACAATCTACACGTTGTCTTGTTTTTTTCCAAGAAAGAGAGAGGCAGACGTTGAGACTCCACACACAGCTTCACCCCTCCATGGGGCCCCAAGCAGGCTGGGATGATGCTCCCCACCTGTGCCCAGGTGCCGCTCGGCTACAGGTGCTCCGCTCACCTGTGCCCAGGTGCCGCTCGGGCTGCAGGTGCTCTGCTCACCTGTGCCCAGGTGCAGGAATTCTGCTACCAGCCACTCACCTTTGTTGTTGCAAGCGATCCCCTTCAGGCGGTCAGCAAAGGTCACTTCTCTCCCAATAAGGTAAGTGAACACTCGAACCTAGCCCACAAGACACAGAGGGACTCAGCAGCCACAGTTGTTGGCCATGAGCGGTACTAACGCCATCTGGGGGAGTTTTAATGTCAGGCACTGCGGCCTTTGGATTCTCGCTCTCACTCCTTTCGATCAAAAAGACCCCGAGGCCCCGACAGCAGCAGGACTTGCCAGGACCCTGGTAGACAGAGGCAGGGTCACAGCCTGCTGTTTCCAGTCTCGATACCACATTCTGAGCCCTCTGGGCCAATCTCGATGCCCCGGTCCCCGTGATTTCCAACGGCAATAGTGGATGCATTACTGGGTGGTCAGCAGTGGCTCCAGCGGGCGGATCGTGTGAGCTCAGGGCAGGCCTGGCGATCTCATCCATGCCTGCGGGGCCCCTCCCCTCCCCCTTTACCTTCACCCAGAAAGTAACCTTGCGGTCCGGCCAGTTGTACTTCTCAAACACCGGCCCATAGTCCTCCACGGCCCCGTCGGTGATCAGCATGATGGCCTGGTTGCAGAGACTGCCTCGTCCAGCCTCCTGGAACTGTGTGGGGAGGGTGCAGGCGCCACGGCCTGGTCAGGAGCCGGTAACCCTGGGGCCCGACTCCCGCGGTGTCAGCCTCCCCTGGGCCTCCCCAGGTCGAGGGACCTGCTTCAAGATCTCGAAGGCTTCACTCAGGGCTGGCTTCACGATCCCCACACCTTTGACCACCAGCTCATCCACCAGTTGTTTGAAGTGCTGTTGAGAGTGGGAAATTAGAGGAGGGTCAGTGCAGCGAGCGGGCAAAGGGACTTTCATCTTTGGTCTTCATTTCCGAGTCATTTTAGCGTTATTTCCCAGAAGGACCCATGGCGGGACCCGCCGCTCCACGACCAGGCTAGTTCCACACCTGGAGACCTACAGATGTTCTCAAACGCCCCGGGAGAGTGAGAGAATGGCTGATGGGTGTGGACCCACCACTGCCACTGGAGGGGCGTCCGGGGTGAGCCCACCTAGCAGGCAGGACAGCCCTCCAGTGCCCGGTTCCCAGCCTTCTCAGTGCTCCGGCCTTTAACCGAACAGAGCATTTCACAAGGGACACCACGAAAGCTGCACGGGCTCCAGGCGGCTTCCCGAGGCAGCCTCAAAGGGCGCGAACCAGACCCGTCACCGACGGGTCTGCAGTGTGCAGATTTCTGTTCTCCTGGGGCTCAACCCGAGGGTTTGAATGTCTCCTTTTGAGGAAGCGTCTCGAGGTGACCATCACAGCGGGAAAGCCCTGGAGAGGCCAGGGGGAAGAACAGTCTGGAGTCAGCCAGAGGGTCCTGGGACGGTCACTCTGCTCCTTGTTCCCTGTCCACAGTGGGGTGCAGACCCTGCAGCTAGCAGGTGAGCTCTGTCTGCTGGCACCTTTGCAGGGAAACTGCAACCTACACGTGGTGGGGGGGTGGGTGGTGGGGGGCAGCAAAGGCACCAAGCCCGGCACAGACAGCCCCAGAGCAGTGGGCAGGGGTCCTCACCTCTCGGTTGTCTCGATCTGCCTGGACCAGGGTCCCCTTGAAACAAGGCTCAACGTAGCGGATGTAGTCGCTGTACTGGAGGGCCGGAGGGCAGGGCATGCGGTCAGTCCGGAAAGTTGAGATTCGGTGACAAAGGCCACCCACAGAGCAGTCAGGGCTTGGGGGCACCTGGGGGTGCCCTGGACTTTAGGGGTGTTTCTGAGAGAAGGCCTTAACGCTAAAATTCTCCTTCAAATCCTGGCCTTGGGCTTTTTTCTCAAGTGGCTACATCATTCGGTATCCATCCCTTGCTGGACACAGAGTGAAGTCATCGCAGGTGTCCTTTGTTCTCTGTCCCCAAGACCAGACTAAGTCCTTCCCCAGGAATCCTAGAGCTCTCCCCCACCCTGGGGTCTGGCTCTGTGCCTAACTGCTTTCTCCTCTTTCTCCTGCATTTATGGAGAGGGTCTTTTAGCTATCAACAGGGGGCGAGAATGAGCAGGAAAATGCCTTTACTCTCTTTTTCTTTTTTTAAAGATTTATTTATTTATACAGAACTGGGGTGCAGGCCAGAGGCACAGGGGCGGTGAGAGGCTTCACCAGAGACAGAGTGGAGAACAGAACAGGCAGATGGACGAAGTACACTGCTGAGGGGAGCAGCGGGGAGACAGGAGAGGTCTGCCACGCCTTGTGGGTCACCCCTGGGCCGGGGATCGAGCTCATGCCACAGCAGTGCAGCTGGCTTCTAGTGCTTTAGCCTGTTGTGCCACCAGGGAGGCCCCTGCCCTCTTTTCCTTAACCACTGTGCTCCCCACAGTTACACTTTGAATCTTCCTATCCTTCATCTGACTTCCTAGATCATTGGAAAGAGGGGGAGATGGTGCTGGCATCACAGTGGCTGCATGTCCTAAGGAGAATGTTGGGGTGTGCCAGGGGAAATGTCGGGAGTGACTGTCCCCCTAATGCTACTCCCCAAACAGCTGGAGAAGTGGAAGGGGGCAGAAGGGTTGGGCAAAAGGGCAGGTCCCCACCTCTGCAGAGTGGGCGAAGTGGCAGCTTGAATGTACCTTTAGCAGAGAGAAAAAACAGGCTAGCGATGGGCGGACCAGAGCCAGACCACCCTTGACTGAGTCCCGCTGTTCTGGGGCTGCTGCAGGTTGGGGCCCAGAATGGAGAGGAAGCTGAGGTGGGCCCAGAGTGATGGAAGCTCAGCTCTGGGATGAGGGGGCCTTTCTCACGGCCCCAGGACGACCATCTTAAAGTTAGACCATATTGCTTTGGCATGTCTTTGCAGGCGATAAGTGCGTGCCATGGACTATAAGCATTTTCAACAGTGTGACAGGTTGCTCCAGGCCCCCAGCACCCACTAGCTCCTTTCTCCTGATGTGTGCGGGTTTGGGAAGTAGGAGAAGGGGGATGTGATAAACCTGTCCTGTAGCAGAGTGCCCAGACTGACGTGAAGGATGTGGGAGGAGGGACCAAGCCGGTCTGTACCCAGGGCCGGCGGCTCTTCGTCCCCCTCACATCCCAGACTCTTCTGAGAAACTGACGGGATGTCAATTCAGAGAAATGGGCATTCACGTTTGCATAATATTGCAGAAACCTCCTGGGTTCCTGACGTCCATCCCTGGTGTGGCTCTAGGCGAGGCACCCAGCTTTAGAGAGGAAAAATCACTCAAGAGTGTAAAGTAGCGAGCGTATGTGTAGGTGGCTCAGGCAGCTGACATTGTTTTCTAGAACAAGACAGAGCTATTCTAGAAGTGGAAGGAGGAGCATTTACCGCAATGACATTGACAAAGTCATTCTCTCCCAGGGTGTCCAAGATGGTGGAGATGGTGTGCTTGGCAATTGCCATCTGCAGCCCCTTCATGCTGCCACTGGTGTCCACCACGATCACGATGTCCTTGGGCGAAGTGGCGGCTTGAATGTACCTTTAGCAGAGAGAAAAAACAGGCCAGCGATGGGTGGACCAGAGCCAGACCACCCTTGTCTGAGTCCCGCTGTTTCTATGCGTATTCTGGTTCAAGTGTATCCAGGGTTCAGGTCAACGCAACGCCAGGTTTTATCGTGTCCCATCATCACTCAGCATCGGTCTGAAGGATTCTGACCTGGGTAGCTAGACTGCCCGTGTAGTGGATCTGTCAGGTAGAGAAAGGTCAAGCCTGGGGGTCAGGCCTCTGCTTTGGCTCAGCCAGGGTCCTGGAGGGACCGGCAGGAGGAAGGGAGCCAATCGCCTATGGATTGTTCCAAGTCTCCCAGGGAGTAAGGAGGGAGAGGGCTGATGTGGAACCGGTTCAGTGAAATGTCATTGGCCTGGAGCAAGGCAGCTCTAGAGAGAAAGGAACGCAGCTGGCAACCCCCCTATATGTGTTCTACACACCTACACCCTGGGATGGGACGGGGGAGGGGTGGGGGGCAGGCAAGGCTGGAGGAGAACATGGCAAAACCCAAAGGTTACGCCCACCCCAGAGACCTCTCATCATGCGCTCACCAGCCTCGACTTACCAGCCTCGATTTCGGCAGTCGAAGGCAATGACCCCATTCTCATCTGGCGTCCATTTGATGCCTGGGGAAACAAAAATCTGCTCCCTCTACTAGTTCACGGGGCTGGGAGCTGGCGTCCAGGTAGCCACGACTCCCAGGCTGGGTGTGGGACCTCTAGATCACACCCTGTAAACTGAGGCAGGGGAAGGGGAGGCCTCCTCAGCACGCAGGCTGTCCAGCTCAAAAGCCAGTTTCACTGCACACGCAGAACCTCCAGACGGGGCGCCTGGGACTTATTTTCTGAGTCTAACCCTCCGGAAAGGTGGAGATTGGCTTCTCCAACCTTTGGACACAGAAGGGTCTTTTAGCAACTTTCTGGTTTCCCTCTCAGAAAAACAAGGCAAATGTTCGACCTCCCGGAGGGTGTGCTAAAATAGAACGATGGGTGAGAAATGGAAGGGGCGTTACTTTACATGGAAGTAAACAAAGGTAGAACAAAGGTGGTTGGTGGTTTTTCTTCTGTGTTTATTTGCGGCTGGAGGGCTTTCCCCTGGTAGCTGTATGTGGGAGCTGGTCACAGTAACTTGTGACTGTTCTACCACAGGACACTTCAAGTGAGTCCCCTTGTTTGTCCCTTCACCTCTCCTGTAGTGCTTGCTTTCTGTAGGATGAGCTTGATGTGGGCATCCCGGGGCTGGTTACCATGGTGTTTGAGGGTTTCATTCATTCATTAAGCGGCTAGTGATGGAAACAGGCATATCGTGCTGTGAGGAGCACCAGGTGTGGCCAGGAGGGCCGGTTTGCTCCTGGGGCCTGAGTGTGATGCGACCTCCTGGCCCCAGAGAAGAAGCCCCGAGTCCCATCGTCCTCACCTGGGTAGATCCTGAAGAACCCAGTGGAACTGCCGAAATATTGCCAGGTCAGCGTCGGGTCTCTCTGGAAATTCTCCACAAAAACGGGGTTCAAGGCCTCGGACATGTAGACGCCGTTTAAAATATCTGGATCTTGAAGCATATGAAAAAATGTTCAACGTCACTTGCAATAAGGGAGATGCAAATTAAAACCACAGTGAGATACCACCTCACCCCAGTGAGAATGGCACATCTTAAAACAACTAGCAACAACAAATTTGGCAGGATGTGGAGAAAAAGGAACTCTCCTGCACTGCTGGTGGGAATGCAAACTAGTACAACCACTATGGAAAACTGTTTGGAGGTT